TACACGAGAGGATCCTGGCTGAAATCCGGCAGGAGAGGAAGCTGAAGCCAGTGGAGCAGCCGTGCTGTGGCAGGAGAGGTGCGCGCTGCATCGCCACCGCAGGGGCTCCCCCTGCTGTCTGCAGCAGGAAGCACAGCCTCGCCTTCTGCGTTCCCTGACTGGCCTCTTACTTAGGCTAATCGTGTTTCAAATCAGCTCTGGGAAAAAAAAAAAACTTGGCCTTAATCTTTACAGGTGACTTGAAATCAGTAAAAAAAAGGTATATGTTTAGAATAGTACACTGCGTAGGTATTACTTTACCATCTGGCTCAAGGAGGAGTAGTGGATGAGCTCTATAGTCCAGAAGCAGCCACGTGTATCATGAATCAAACCCTGACCCCAGCTTTAAGACACAAACTGCAGAGCTGGTGGAGAGTCTTGGAGTGGATGGATGAAATAAGCGGTGCATGATTGTTCAGCAGTTTCTGAGCCCACCCTCCTGCTTTCTGCCGTCCCTCTTCGGTCCGGGACGCCTAACGCCAGTGTCTTCCCCACGCTCAGCTTTCGGCTCTCTGCCCTGCCTGGTCCATGCCTGTACCTGCGACGTCAAGTCCACCTCCTGCATCGACCTCTCCGTCCCCGAGGGCGGAAACCGCCTGCCCCCACCGCGGCCCAGGGTCCTGCTCAAAGCCCCCACGCTGGCCGAAATGGAGGAGATGAACATATCGGAGGTGAGGGAGAGCTGGGTCACTTTGAACCACAGTGATCTGATTTCAAATGTGTACCTTATATTACTATATAATATATCTGTATGGGTTATACTAGTATACCATATTATATACTACAGTACAGTCTATCAGAATGGGTTATATTAGTATGTTATACAGTAGATCATTGTGGGTTATATTAATATTAGTATATTATAAAATAAATCAGTGTGGGTTATATTAGTATATTATACAGTAAATCTGTCTGGGTTATTTTAGTGTATTATATAGTACACTAACAACACACGCCACACCTTCTACCTTTACCCCTTCATTTACTTATTCATAGCTACTTTTTAAAGAGTGTAAGTTGCCAGAGAGTCCCCTTGAGCTGTAGCGTGTCCTCCATTTCTGAAGCCTCAGTGTTGTTGTTCTAGAGCCGAGGGCCCAAGGGAAACTCCCAGGAGACCCCCAAGGTGGGTACCCGCGTAAGCACGCTCCTGTGTGTTCTCTACTCGAAGCCTTCGTTTTCTGTGATCATGAGGAGATGCGCTGCTTTCCTCAGCTCCTGCAGCTCCTGCTTGGCTCGTCTTGATTGGTGGTTTTTATCTGTGGTCTTTTTTTGGGGGAAGAGGTTTCCTTCCTGTTCCCATTCCTATTCTTCCACAAGCAGACTGAGCTCCAGCACTTTGCCAGGAGTGGGTTCCGAACCCCTCAGGTCGGGGGTGGGCAGTGCTGGTCCTGGAGGGCTGGTCAGTCTGCAGGTTTGCATTCCAGCTCAGCTCTCAACGAGGCGAAACAGCTCGTTATGGCTTAACGGGCCCAATATAAGAGCTTTCCTCACAGCCGCGGTGTTTCCTGGTTTGTGTGTTCCAGGAGGAGGAGTCTCCCAGTGGGGACATGAGGAGGGTGGAGAGCTCGCCGGTGCCTCTGAAGAGGGACCGCTCGTTCTCCGAGCACGACATCGCCATGCTGCAGAGTGAAATGGCTCTGTCCCATTCCAAATCGGAGCAGCTCTCTTCCAGAGGGGAGCGCTTCCGGGCTCGTAGCATGGTCAACAGCTCTGGGAGCACCCATCAGCGGGGTCAGTAAGCCAGACTGTCAGTTACAAATCCCGTCTGTCCTATTTCAGCTGCTGTGTGCAGAGCTCAGAAGGTCCTGTTCTTGGCTTTCAGCTTTCTGAACATGTTACTCAATCTGTGTAATGGTGGGGGCTTTCTATTTCATAGCGTTACAACCTGATTTCTGTTTCTCAACTGAACATGGTTAGTCACAGAGAGTATTTTCAATTGTTCAGTGGTCCAGTACTTGTACTGACAATCAAACTGCACAATTGAAAAAAGAGGAAGACGGAAGAGCCTCTGAGGTCAGAAAGAAACTTGGGAGGTTTATTTTACCACACAGACCAGGAAACCCAACGTTACCCATTATGAATAAAACCAGGAAAACAAACATGACTTCAACTACAGGACTTTTGGGACGGAGCAGTGGCTATGTGGTTAAGGATCTACACCTGTGGTTGGAAGGTTGCCGGTTCAAATCCCACAGCCGGCAGAGGAATCCTACTCCGTTGGGCTCCTGAGCAAGGCCCTTAACCCCAACTGCTCCAGGAGTGCTGTACAATGGCTGACCCTGCGCTGTGACCCCAGGCTTCTCTCCCTGTCTGTGTGTCTCATGGAGAGCAATCTGGGGTATGGGAAAAGACAATTCCTAATGCAAGAAATTGTAAAGGGTTAATAAAGTGATGTTAAACTAATCCTCCAAGTCTGAAATGGCAGTAGCTGTGCCCGTAGCCGTGAAAAATAATTTATCCCAGTGTCCTCGCGCTACAGACAGTCACCTTCAAACTCTTTTTTTTCCTTGGCAAAAAGAAAGCGTGCCAGGCTGGTTCGGTGAGGCAGCAGTGCTCACGCTGCTGGTGTGTGCTGTGTGTTTGTGCCCGCAGTGTCCTTTCCTGTAAGAGGCCGAGCGGCTCGCCCCCAGGGGGTGTTCTCCCCCGGCCGGGGGTCCCTCAGCTCAGTGGAGGAGCGGACCGAGGCCGATGGCAGCTCCCCTTCCAAGCAGGGCTCCAGACACCAGTGGATGGTGAGTACGTTGTGTTGAAACTGGAACCGGAGGACACGCATGGAAAACATGGGCAAGCGCATGGAGAACCGACAACAGGAAGCACTTCTTTACGCAAAGCACTGTGGGAGTCTGGAACAACATTCTCCGCCATGCCTTGTCTCCAATGTAATTCTGATAAATAAGTGATGTCATAGCATCTGCATCTCATTGTTTTTTAACCTTGTGACTGGGTTACAGTGTAGAATAAGGTAGGAAGTAAGCAGCTGCTTATTACAGTAATTGCTTGAAAAAACAGATGAATGGCTAACTGCTGAATTTTCTTTTGTTAGAAATGCATTAAAGACTGGGAGTTAAGCACTAAACATTTTCTATTTAAAGCTCTTAATCTAATTTTTTGGCAAGTAATTCATTAATTCAAGCAGTGCTTCTTCTGCATGTTTCTTTGCTAAATTCATTATTGGTGAATAATGCATTTAATAACCAGTGATCTCTATAGTTTTAATGGCTTTTCTAGCTTTGGGCATTCCTCATTAATCTATACGGAGCACTAACTCTGGGCAGAGATTACCAGAGCCCAGATCC